GTAAATCTGGTATATGAAACAACACCTATCTGATAATTTCAAGGTATATCTAGAAAATTCTGATTTTTTTAGATAACTAAGGTTTGGCTATGTCAATGTAAGACATATTGTGCGTGTTTGAAATTAGAATTAAAAACTCTATTCACCTGTGTAAAAATCCAACATGGCGTCCTTAAGAAACCATGAAGTTGAAGCCGGAGGAGAGGCGAAATTGAACTTCTAATCATGCCATTCTGTAGAGGACAAAAAGTGGTGATATCAATGTGCAATTTGTTTAACATCTTACTACAAATGAAGTCAAAAAAAACGTATACGATTTTGGTTTTTTCCTCTTTTCTTCAGAAGTACTTTGAGATTCGAAACTCTCTAAGCGGCATTTTGTTAGTTACCTAAGTACGTAACTTTGCCCCCATTTAAGCGGCTTCGTATCTCTTACCATTTCCGAGATCCCAATGGTGAGGGTCGAATTTGAGACACCCGGTATAGCATCACACAGTTCTCATTGAAGTGTCGAGATGATCAAAATATGGAGTTGTTTTGATTTATGGTAATAAAATTATATCAAAATGTACTATTCGTAAAACTGTGAAACTCATTTGCTTCATCATAATGTGGTCTCCAGAATTGCACCACGCCAGGTAATTCGGAACCTGGTAAACATAGTGTTACACCAAGGATTGCCAAGGTGGATTATATCATTCTCAAGGAATGTCAACTTTTGTTTTCAATCAGGAAAAAGGTCCTTGAAGATCCATTCAGTCTAACCACTGGATAAGGTATTACTGACCAAAGCCATCTAAAAGCTGACAGACAAAAACGATTATTGAAAAGCAAACCTAGTTCCTATTGTTTTGTTGGACACATTTGCTTATGTTCGTAGAATAGAATAATCCTTTAATAATAGCTCATCTCATGTTGTTGTGCACCAAAGTTATAAGGATAAAATGTAAAAAAGTGTTGTTTCTATTTAGACTGATGAAAAGTAATGTATTCCCTGTGCCATTAGATATACAGGGTGACTTTGAAGTTGAGTCATTAATTTTCAGATAATGATTGTAGAAGGAAGATAAACCAAAATATGTGTGTAAAAATAAAAAAAAATAAAAAAAAATGTTAACTTGTTTTATAAAGTATCCTCCCGACAAGTATTTCAGTGCGGACCTGTATTTGATCGTGCGGTCTTGGAGCACCGGCATGCCGTCCCCTGTGAGGTCTTAAGTTACCTGATTCACGAGCCCTTTGTACTACATTAACAAAGGCACGAGGGGTTGGTTGCACTCAATTGGGAAACCGATCCGCATAAATCCGTGATACCGCGTAAATAAGAATCATGTCCACAAGTTCAGCATTTTCGTAAACATGTGCCATTTTTGATTTCGTTTGAGCCACGCAACAGACACCACTATTCACGCACGCGTTACCGACTGACACTGACTGTATACAACTGAATAAAATAATTGTAAAAACATCGTTCCAAATTCTTTCGCTTTTTTGTTTCCGATGCGATGAACCGATAAGGCGGATTATATCCGTTGTTGCCAAACACGAGCACATAATATTATTATTGAGACAGGGCGGTACTCAAACTTCCAAAGGGCTATAACTTTGTTACATTTTACCAGAAAAATGGTAAAGGAAAAAAACATTTCTTTCGATCAGATCTACTCACTGTTAAAATAAATGACTCAACTTCGAAGTCACCCTGTATGTATTTGCTGACCTAAACGCAATATTTATCACCAAGTACTCAACTTGGATCATCTTCATCAGTGTAAGATCATTTTTAAGTATTCGCATCCCTTAAGAGGCTTTCCATCAAATCGATGAAACGAATCTCGCTTCATAAACCATAATTGGTTGTTGTTTTTGAAGAGTGACAATAAAATATCATCTTGCTAGCCTTTTACAACTAAACATAGAACTTGGAAAAACTTTTAATTTACCAAGACAGACAGTGGTCAAATCATAAAACATTTGCAAACCTATTAGTGAGGTTAGTAGATGGAACGTTATTCAATAGAGATGAGATTAATTTTTTATTCGTCACCATGTGTAACTGAAGAGAAAAAGCATTCCACTTCTGTACCTATAGCACAGCAGTTACATCACCGTATACAGTGTTATTTAATATAATTTAAGATGATATACAGGGTGTACAAGATAAGGATTCTATGCATGGTGATCTCAATAACTCTGGGATATACAACTTAGGTTAAATTAGGAACAAGCTGAGTTCTTTGGGGCGTATTTTCATGGCGTTGAGAAACTTGTGAAAATTTCATGGCTTACTGAGATATTTGGGAAAAACTAAAATTTGGTCAAATCGTTTTTATTTTTTCTGACCTTGTTTTAAGAAATATGAAAAAACTAATGGAACTTTTTCATTGTCCATTTTTAGGCACTACATGATGGTGTTTTTAAATTTTGTACCAGACGTTTCGTTTTCGATAAACTATCATCAGCTTTGTATTTTTATTGGCCCGAAAAAAAAGTACACTATGTATTTGATAGCATCCTTTTTCTACGAATTCAACGATGTATCACATGTTACATTTGTACTACCTTCTTTTTTTATTAGTTGATGACGCCCATGTGCGTTTGTAGTAGTAAAAAGCAAGAGCCTTGCGCGACATGGTTGATTTCATAGTTCTCTATGCTGCACTTATAAAATCATTGTTTGGAACATAATTGGTTATTTAACAATTATTTCTTATTCTGCCCATGCACAACGTACTTAATGCTATTCATTGACTATTTAGCAGAGCCGCTGTGATAATTGGAAAATAAAGCAAGGTTATTTCGACGAATTATATTTTATGATTTAGATTACAAGTATTGAATTTAGCATGGTACTTGAACTGGTAAATTAACTGAGTAATTGTAAAGAAAAATTGCCTGCTATCTGGAGCAACGCAACACTAAACACGCGAAAACAGCAGACAGGATTTTTGCTGAAAGTATGTTCGTGTATCGAAGGAATGAAAATAATTTGAATGTTGTACGTAGTGAAAATTCGTTTACCTGCTTTCTAAAATTTTCAGCACAATTTATATCTTATTCACGAAGCGAGCCATCTAAAAACATATTCGTTTCGAATATGCGTATAGAACTTTCATTTCAAGAAGCGTAGCGAATGGATTCAAACATATGTTTTAATCAGAATATATACGGAATCCTCAAATAACGAAACTTCATTAAATAAGATTCAAGTACTCGTATACAATATTTAGTTTTATCATACAACCAATCAACCAAATTTGGAATAAATGACTGCAGCATTTTGGATTTCATGCACTAATTCATATTTTTCTTCTGAGCTGAGTCTCTAGATCGGAAAAGTTTGTGTATTCTGGGCAACAGGCAAGTCATTCGATAATAATCATCCGTAAATATTTGCATAACTACATACAGGTCGAAGCCGCAAATAGATAGATAAAGAATTTTCTATACATTTAATGGGTAGTTTCAACTTCAGGCAGGTTTTTCTCATAACAATAATATCGTACGTTTTACAGCGTACCATATCAAAAACACCTACGCCTATTAGGCTTTTCAAAAATATATCTATAATAGTTGAAAGATATGACAGCTCTTTGGAAATTCTTAGACTGATCTCAAATACTAGTCCAGTAGAACAGTGTGACGACTTTAAGCTTATTAGCAGCTGCAGCATTTATCAACAAAGGTCAATTAATTTCAGTAACAAATTATTCTAAAAAAATGTCTGCAATTCTTCGTACATTTTCTAGTTCAGTCTCATGGTTGAGCATTTTTCAACATTTTTACACAACAAATTTGCAAGTTTTTTGTGTAAAATCCTAGGACATAAATAGTGCAAGTACTAGATGAACGAAGCTATTTCTATGTTAAATTAGATTTTACAAGTTATAACAAGTTGGTGGTATTGTGAACGTATTCTTTTTTTATGAGGTTTTATGTTTTCCAAAAAGTAAAAAGTGAAGTCGAAATTTCTGTGTGCTACTTTTAAAATATGGCTCGTTTTTAGTGTTGTATTTTATAAACAAGTCACGTAAGTTTTATGAGATTTTATGTTTTTCAAAAGTTACGCTGTAATTCTTAACAAAACAATTGAAACAGCTGCTTCAGTAATACGATACGAACCTGATGCTTCCATTTGGATGTGGGATACCCTGTACAATATTATTACATAAAAAATTATGTGAAAAGATAATATCTCACATATACGAGCCCCTTCCACTTCAGTTGGCCCAACTATTGAAATCTTAGTTTTTTTATTATCAAACACAAATAATAAAAATGTAGCAGGGTGTTATAGGTTTAAAATATTAACAATGAATATTTTGATAATATATAGTAGAAAATACCAACTTTATCACTCCCTAATCAAATTTGCAGCATAAAAATAACACATGTTGCAATTACAGCTTATCAACCTATTTTCATTTCAATGCAAAATAAGTCTATAACGCATTTGTGGCTGTGAAAAATAAAAGCCATGACAATTGCTTTTCTTAATCACAGCTGTCAGAATACGTTTAAAATAGTTTTGGGTAGTTAAGGTTTTCAAAATGGGTAGAGGATAGGTTATTAGTGAGAAAATTCGGTTACTGATAATTAAATTTTTTTATTCTGGGAAATCAAACTCAGAAATTGCAACTTTGTTAGACTTATCGCGGTACAGTGTGAGAAATATTGTTAGAAGATATAACGTAACTGGTTCAGGTAATATTAAGCCACGATATATGAAAAAAAGAAGAAATATCACAAATGCCGACCGAAGAGTATTAAGAAGAATAATCGTGAAAAACATTCGTGCCAATTATTTACAATTAAGTGCTCTGTGGAGTGACGCTGTTGGAAGGAGAATTTCGAGGACCGCAACTCATAGAGAGGCCCACAAACTGGGATTTAGCACTTGCAAGGTAAGTTTTCTTATAAAAAAAGTGAAGTAAAAACCCTAAAGTTGCACAACTTGTTTATATGCCAAAGAGAAGCCACTATTAAGTCCACTGCAAAAGAAAAATCTGCTTAGATGGGCTAAAGAACATAGACAATGGACACCTCAACAATGGTGTGCAATACAATGGAGTGATGAGGCCCGATTCGAAGTTTGTGTTGGTGACAGTCGCAGTAGAGTTATTCGCAAAAAATGAAGGATTCCATGTTGACTCTCTGAAGAGAAAAGTGAAATTTCCAGCATCCATTATGGTCTGGGGCAGTATGTCATCACAAGGAGTAGGAACACTTCATTTTATTGATGGAAATGTGGATACAAACAAATATTTGGCAATTTTTGTAGAATTGCTTTTACCAGTGATGGAAGAATGTTTGACATCCGGCCAAGATTTTGTGTTTCAGCAAGGTGGTGCAGCGTGCCATACCTCAAAAAAGGCTATAAAATGGATGGAAGAAAATAATGTACCACTTTTGAAATGGGTTTCTAGCAGTTCAGATCTGTCACCTATTGAAACTTTGTGGCACGAGATAAACAAGGTTCTACGACAACATCCTGCTCGTACAATCACCGAACTGAGACAAAAGCTTCAAGAAATATGGGATTGTTTTACACCAAATGTTAGCCAAAACTTGGTTAACACTATCCCCCAAAGAATTTCAGCCGTAATAAAAAATAAAGGTGTTACCCAATGGTAATCTTTCAATTTTTGCTTTGTTAACTTCGCGCATTTATTCGCACATTGTTTATTTGTTCAGATGTTCTATTAGTTATAGGTCTAAGTGATTTCAAATATGTATTTTTTACGACTAGAGTGTATCTATGTTTTTGAGAAAATAAATTGTTTTAGAAGTAAATAGTTTCGTCATGTTTAGTTTATAAAGGCATATTTTGGTACAAATTTTGAAGTGGGCCAACTGAAGTGGGAAGGGGCTCGAAATATCATAACATATTAAGTAAAAACTAAATATATTACTTATTATCATAGGATATCATGTATCAAGCGGAATATCTTATACACTGAGAACCAAATTTGTCTGATGGCTTGAGTTCAATGTCTACGAGATAGAAGTATGTATATACACATATGTTAGAAAGAGATAGAAGCCAGCTGGATATCAAAGCTCATCACCGCATTGCCTAGCAATAGTGTCGTTGCCAGTATGTTACGCATGTTCCTTGAATTGAAATGCATGTTGAAAATACGCTTTAGATTATTCTATTGTGTCGAATCTGTTTACAGTATATTCAGATAAGAGATAGACCGGACATAAACAAGACCACGTGATCATCGAACGCTGTAACATTCGGCAGGGACGTATTAAGAGTGACGCAGTACATATTTTAGATAGTAGATGCTGCTTTGCGTAACTTTGTAGTAAATTAGCACAATTCGATGTGTATACGATTGGTGATGGATATAGGATCATGTGGGGGTGGGGTAAGAAATATATAATGATGTAAATATACATAAGGGTTTCAAAATTTTCGCTTCGATTTCCAGCTTCGGATGCCGCCTGATGTTTGGTGAAATACAGTCGAATATAATCTCAAAATGGCGTTTAAATTAGTCTAAATTAAAATAATCGTATATCTCTTAAAATTGCTTTTAGAATATTGATTAGTATATTTTTGTATTTCTAGGTAAATATGTAACCAAATTAAAACGTTCAAAATGTGCATGGTTGAACATTGTCAGAAAGTAGATTCTTGAATAGGTTTTGCCAAAATGGGTTCAAAAATGTCAATAATTAATTAAAAAATACTAATGCTTTATAATTACTTATAACTTACCGAATTTGATGAACGACAACTTTTATTGGAAAGATGAGCTTGATGAGCTTTCATCATCGCTACTGCCTGAAGCACCAACGTCAATAATGAATGGCTCGACTTGTTCCTCTAAAATATTGTCCAGTTCCCACATTCTCTTTTCAACTTTGTCTTTCACGTGCTTAATACAGTTTTCCCATTTTTGCGCTGTTATTAATTCTAGTGCTTCTTTGAAAAGTCCTTTGAGGTCACAAAATTTAAAAGTTGTATTGTGCTTAGCTATATAATTTTTAACCTCTGCCCATATGAGCTCAATGGGATTGAGCTCGCAATGGTATGGAGGTAAACGGAGCACAGTTTTATTTTGACTTGCTGCCATTTCGTCAAAGGCGTATTTTTGATATTCCGCCTTGTGATCCTTGACAATTCTTAATAATTGTACTTTCAGCATTGCTTCTTCAAAGTTGATATTTTTCGAGCGGAGCCAATTTTGAACATCAACTTTCCTTGAAGCCGTTGTTGGGACCTTCTCCATTCTTCGAGTATGATAAGGCGCATTATCCAACACAATTACTGCGTTTTCCTCTAAGTTCGGTAAAATTTTTGAAAACCACTGTTCAAACGATTCGCCATTCATTTCCTGGTGGTAATCTCCAGTTTTCTTAGACTCAAAGCACCACAGACCGTCAACAACAGATCCATCCTCACTGCCAATATGGCAGATAATGAGCCTTTTCCCTTTACCTGGAAATCGAAGTACTAACTGGTGTAGATTTATTTCAATAAGCGAACCTTTTTCAAATGTTTTCATCACATTCAGCGAAAAAACATTGAGACATGAGTATCAGATTGCTATACTTGGGATTATTTAGTCATATTGAAAGAAAGAATATTGAACGTCGTATGATTACTCAGCGCTTCACAATTTAATTTAAAGTTATAAACCTTTAAAAAATGAATGATCAGGAACCTGAAATACGCGCAAATATTAATATTAACAAATTATAACTTTATAAAGCTTAAAGTATGAATTAAAATGATTAGAAATATTAGGAACGGTACACAATATAAAACTTAGTAACTTTTTTTAAGTTTATAACATTCGACATATTTTAAGATTATATTGAAAAATTATTGAAATATCGAAAACACATAAAAACATGGCTTAAAAAAGTTCTAACAAATGAAAATGACAATAAAACATCCACGCATTTTATCGAAAGTTATAAAAGTTTTTGTTACTTGTAATATGTTTTATCTGCCCCTGGAATTAATGTTTAGAACCTTGTTCCCAAGGTTTGAAAAACATCCGATTGTTGTCTATTACTCGTATTTACCTGCTGGATTTTTTAATCCGGTGGACAGTCCATCTAGAAAGGCCCTCCTGGATGAAGTTACAGAATCATCAACCCATACTTTACTTGTAGTGTGTCCTGCGTTTACCCACGTTTCATCAAGGTAATAAATCTTCCTGTTTTGATTTCTATATTTCCCAATTTTTGTTAAATAATCCCTCCTCCATAGCACAATTTCTTCTCTATCCAGTAGTAAACTATTACGACCCCGCTTTTTCCATTTGAAATTTAAATGCTTCAGTAACGCATGGAAAGTTGATCGTTTGAAATTTGGCAACGTTGTATTTCCATTTACCTCCTGCAGTACTTTATCTATAGTAGGTATTTCATTCCTAAAGAAGAATTCATGCACTTTCCTCCTAATCGCATGCTTATCAGCTTCATCCAATGATTTAACAATACTTTTGCGGTGTTTACTGGTCATTGGCTCAGAAAAGGTGTGATTTTTTTGTATTGTCTTAACACATTAAACACTGATGCGCGACACACCCCAACTTTGTGAGAAACCTTCACAACAATTTCTTTGATGGTTGATGCCTCGTTCTCCTCGCGCTCGATCTTATATATATTCAAAATGACCTCTTTCATTTCTGCACTCAGGTGTCTTTTTTTAGAGCGTTTCCTAGGTGGACTACAGGAGTTTACAACTTCATCGGCAGTATCTGTACTACTGGGCATTTTGCGCAAGCAGTTGATAACAATAACAATCAATAACAAGGTATAACAATAACAACGACAAACTCAACAACTTAATAAGATAACAAACGAAAACGTCCAAAGAAATATCAAATTGCAATGATGCACACGACATACGTAACACGTCTGAACCTGAATGTGACTCTGCCTTGATACGACTGCTCTGCCGCTCGGCATAGGCATTTAATTGCGAATTGACCAATGAGGGCTCCTGTTTTACGTCGAGACGGCGGCGTTAGCGTGAAAATCACCCGAACCTTTTGTTTACATCCGGTTTATCTCTTATCTGAATATACTGTAGGATCGATTCCGGATCGATCCTAACGGTGCTTGATTTTAGGTAGGCATCGGCACAAATTCTGCAACATTGCATCATTGGTTCGCTTGGCAACACCGCAGCTCGTACATTCCAAACAAAGGTTTCCACCTTCATGATCATAGATGTGCGATATTGGTCAGCACCCATCTAGCGCTCATTTGGGAATGTCGTCCTGCTTCGAAACGGTTTTCACCTGCGTACATGCAGGCAGTGATAATTCGTATTTCGTAAAGATATTAGTTACATTTTCCGACCGCTCAAAATGTAACAATAACTCAAAATGTGTTGATTTTATTACCATCGGTGGAAATCAAAGGTAATTCCAAAATAAATCAAAACACTAAGTGGCATCAAAATTGAAATAAATAGTTCTAATCGATATGAACACAAAATATTAAATTAAATGTTCGAGCAAAACTCCTTCTTGGGTTTGACAGTAACCTAACCTATTGTAGAAGCTTGTACTTGTCGTCGTCTGGGAATACTGAAGCTTTCTTCTAAATCACCTTGAATACGTATCATTTGTAGTGTTATTATTTCATAGAGAAATGCAGTTTCACCATAAAAATACTGAAGATGAGGCACCAATAGCAATTCAATAAATATGCTTTAATGTGGCAGAGAAAGTCGATTTAGATGCTTCATCACATTGGTTGCCATACTTGACTAGATTTAGAGTAAAATTCAAAAGTAAAATCGCTAACGTCTGAAATTTAAAACAATTAGAATACTCTTACTGTGGAGACGTTCTGACAAAATTTGGATACAGCGTTAATATTATGTGAAGAGAAGGGTTGAAAAACGTGCAGTACGTTACCAGCATAACACATTAACCTATCCTTCTTGCGTTTGGAATGTTATACTTCTAATCTATTTCCAATATCAGTTATTACGCCAGGTTAATGGCTATTCAATCTCGTTTCTTTGCCTTAATTATAACTGTTTATTAACAACATTTCTGCCTTGCTCTACGCGAGTACATTGATTACTTGAACATCCCTTCCAGATAAAATAATTTACGCTGATGTATTGATGTGTCACTTTGGTAGGCAATGCTAGTCAAATTCAGGCAGCAGCGGTGACGTAGTGGTAGACGTTATGGGTCTCCTAAGCAGTGCGCTGCGTGGGTTCGAATCCCGTCCCAAGAGAATTTTTCTCTTGGCTACGGATGTTGTGATTGCCCGTAGGTGATAGACGGTTTCTGACTGACGAACAAGGAGGTACCACCCGGCGGATCTCTAAGGCAAGGGCAGAATGTGTGCATGTTGCATGAACACGCGTTTCCCTCGCTAGAATCTGCCTTTTTATTATCTAGACGCATTTAACAACAGATAATTTACTTTTTAGTACAGGATCAAGAAAATCCGTGATTACGACGACGCAACTTTAAAAGCTGCAATAAGATCTATGAAAGCTGGTATGAGCAGCCATCGAGCTGAAGTCTTCTTTAAAATATCTCGACAAACTCTAATTAATAAATTAAACAAAAAACACATAGGAGATGTAGGTAGGTCCAAAATATTCTGCAAAGTAGAA